TGGTAAATCGAATGCTGCAGCTAATTTTGATAATGGTATCGGGAAATAAATCAAGGAATATGACAGTGACTTGTCTGAAATTAAGGATAACATTTTACTTCCCCTTATCATAATTTTAGGGATATTATTAATATTTACAAGCGATTTTAAAGATATTGCGAATCGAACCCTTGTGCATTATGAGAAAGACAAACTATTTTGCTAAAATTATTTCTAGGTAACAATAAATAATTGACGAAATTATCTACAGGATTTTCGTGAAAAATGTGTTGTTTCACTCCACAAGACGGGCACAATTTTTCATATCATTTTCATTCTCACAAACAGAGCACGATTGTTGTGCCACGCATAGATTTGGTTCGTGTAACCACGAATTGAGATTTTTTTTCTTGTTTCGTTTCAATATCGAAATAAACGAATAATACTTTATCTCTGGGTTTTTCGTCTGTACTTCCGCATATATCACCAATGCGGGGTACTCCTGAAACTTTTACAAATTGAACAATATGTTTCACCGCATTTGTGAGGTTCTTTGCGGAAATCCAGATTAATGTTTTATGACACATTTTGGAACACTTTATTGTATGACATATAGCCTCACTCTTACTGCCCGAAGTTAAATGAACATCAAAACAGGCTGAATTGGGGAAGTCCTGATAGTAGACAGTGCATACTTTGTGAGAAGTCATTTTTGCAAGGTGGTTTCCTTAGACAAAAGCAACAATTTTCCTTACAGATATGCCTAGTCTTATTTGAGACTTCATAGTGTGTATTTTCTGTTTTTTAACAAATACTCTTCGTATAATCTAGTTTCCTGTTCATCATGGTTCCTTTTTAAATGGCTAAGGACGTTGGATGAAGAATTGGCGTACCCTTTTATTCCAACATGACGACAGGAAGGCATTTGACACAAACAACCACTATTTGTGTGGGGGAGCATTTCTGTCTGACTACAGTAAAAAAGTTTCCGTTAACAATAGTAGGGTGCTTCAAAAAACTTGCCTCACCAGAATGTGAAACGGAGGAGTTTTGAGACTGATAACTGCAACGTTCGTTGGCGGCCATCGTATATCAATGGCCATCGTATACGACAATCAATTCTGTGCGCTCGATCACTTTCGCTAATAATTAGAGGAACAGTTGTCGAGAATACGAATTTGCGAGGTTCACCGAAGTGAGGTAGATCTTTCGTTGAAGTGACGGAGATCATTGGCAAAACAGGTACCGTTCGAGTGAGTGTATCATTAAAAAACTTGACTAATTGTATTATAATCCGCAAGGTACAACAAATCGTAATCGTTGTGTTGGATAATAGCCGAGCATGTTGGAATTGACCTGACCTCCGTGAGGGAATCTTCTATTTGGTAGGGGCTGCCAAGGTCGGATGTTTCCTTCAGTTTCAGAATGTAAGACCAGGAGATAAATCAGTTTTAATACACACCGACAGTGAAACATCGCTTAATGCACTCAGTCAGAACACCAAAAGAGTACGAGAAATATTGCCCGTACCTTCCTTCCAACGTTGCATAACGGATATTCGTAAGGTAGGCGGCAGTTGAACGGGGAGATCCTCGTTTGACGACCCGTCGGATATATTTTCTTCCTCGTCTACCGTATTGGTTACTGAGGTCGGATATAATGTGGCATCTATATGAGCGGTTTGAATATGTGCAGTCGTGGATGCAGTGGAGATGGGAACTGTATTGATCTTCGTGGTTGAATACGAAGAGCAATCCGTGTGGTCTGACGAATTTATATAATCGCTTATACACCTCCTCACACATTGTTCTAAATGTTCCATATCCTCTTGGGAACCAGACATCGTGTAGCAATTGCTCTCGAAGATGTTGTCCCAAGAGCAATCTGCTGTATCGTAATCCGAACGTTTCATTACAGACAATAGCGGACACATAACTGTCAAGCATATCTCCCATAGTTGGGGTAAGGGCTTCTTCAGGGGAAAGGTCGCTTTCGATATCACTTTCATCAATATCGGAAGATCTGATCTTTGAATTAATCCTGTTTTTATCGATGTTATTATGCAATCTATGATAGATTAGCAATTGACGGTTTCTTTATGCATTTTTTCTTGGGTTGACTCTTCGCAGGAGGACAAGTCCGTTTCGGAGGTTGATGCGATGTTGATGGGATTGGTTCGTCTTTTGAAACTTCCTCTTCTGCTGGAGAAAGACATACTGACGATTCTTCAAAATTGTCCTACAATAGATAACATAGATTGGAGACAAAGGTTGATGTCGTTCTGGGCCTGCCTCCATACTTTACCGTATAGAGCGGCCTGACATCACATGCACCCTTTCCCAGGAAATCGTTGTTTCTTATGAGTTCTTCCTTGAGCTCCTCTTTAGTTGTCTCCTTAGGGACCCGGAGAATTAACAATCTGGGGTTTCGCTTACCCATAGAGCGTGGTTTCAAGCCACGCAATGACTTTATTCTTTTCAGCTTCGTCGCCACTCCACCCTTTGCTGTGGCCCTAATGTCAAATATTTTGATTTTTGAGACTCTAGGATTAAGCATATGTTTAATCCTTTTGAGCAACTCGCCGGGCTCAACACCTTCAGCTGCGTCTATGATTACAAGCTTGCCGTTTTCTGCAATGGCTTTATCTACGTCTTTTTCGGTTACAGCGTGTCTTTTTTGTTGTTTCCCTTGCTTGCTAACATCATTGTTAGCTACGACTGTCTTGCTTTTTGTCATATCATCTTTTTGGCTATTTTTTCCATTTTTATTTTTGTTTTTCCTAGAGACAACACTACTCCAGGTCTCCTGTAAAGACGGTGTGGTGTCATTCTTGTGTATGTGAGCAGCGTTATTGCCGTTCACTTTTTTTGGCTGCGCTTGTAGTTGATTGTCTTGCGCTATTCTTAAAAAGTGGCTGTTTGATGACTTCCCTGCTTTCAATCATTTCGGCAACTCTGCAGAGCTTATCCGCTATCTTGTTAAAGGACGGGGCGAGGGCTGCGGCAATCTTTGCCGGTCCTTCTTCGGCTGCTGAAAGCTGTGCGTTGTGGATGCTAATTCGTTGTACTATGCCTATAATCTTATCAACCCTTTCACCGACATACTAGGCCGCTGACTTAGGGTCGATTAAGAATTGCGTTATTTGGGCACACAATTCTTGGGCATCTGCGCATGTTTTCGCATACGTAGCGCCTGGGGTGTCCATCATAGTCCCAGCTTCACTAGGAGTGTTCTTCGGTTGCGAGTCTTCCATAATATCCATGCTAAATTTAACACTCAGTCCGGACTGATATCTAGGTGTCCTTGACGGACTGAGCGGTCCCTGGGACACCAACCCCCAAATTTAACTTTAAAGGAATTCGTAGGAGGGTATCAATGTTTTTTTTAACCACGTCATCTAGTCAAAATTCATTATATTGGGTTGTCCGGAAAATAATGCAGGATTTTGGTATTAAACAAAAAAAAAGAAACTAGTTACTTTAAAGCAATGTTCTTTAATCANCTTATCCGCTATCTTGTTAAAGGACGGGGCGAGGGCTGCGGCAATCTTTGCCGGTCCTTCTTCGGCTGCTGAAAGCTGTGCGTTGTGGATGCTAATTCGTTGTACTATGCCTATAATCTTATCAACCCTTTCACCGACATACTAGGCCGCTGACTTAGGGTCGATTAAGAATTGCGTTATTTGGGCACACAATTCTTGGGCATCTGCGCATGTTTTCGCATACGTAGCGCCTGGGGTGTCCATCATAGTCCCAGCTTCACTAGGAGTGTTCTTCGGTTGCGAGTCTTCCATAATATCCATGCTAAATTTAACACTCAGTCCGGACTGATATCTAGGTGTCCTTGACGGACTGAGCGGTCCCTGGGACACCAACCCCCAAATTTAACTTTAAAGGAATTCGTAGGAGGGTGTCAATGTTTTTTTTTAACCATAACACGTCATCTAGTCAAAATTCATTATAATTTTTATAAATATAAAGTGAACTTTTTTTATAGTAGCTACATGTTGGTAACAGGCACATAAAACACAAGAACTAAAAAATAGTGTAGCTATTCAAAAATTACGATCCTCAGCCAATTTTTTGCGAATTGGTAAAATTGGTGAGTTAAAAACAACCAGTCTTATATTATTATATAAAATCTCACATTAGGTAAGTATTTATCACATCGGGGAAGCAACTTCAATATGAACAATGACAAAGTAATCGTTTTTCGTAAGTTGACTTCGTTGACTATGGACTTCAATTTAAATTTGAAACATAAAGAAACCCAACTTCTTAACATAGTGACTAAATTTAAATCACAAAATCATTTAGGTAGGTGCACTACAAAAGTTCAATGTAAAATACATGTTTGCAACACACACAGGTACAATAGCAACGTGAAAATATCCAAAAATCAAAAACATCATTGAAACACGAATTCTCTGCATTTAGGGCATATTTGTTTTGCACACTTTAGACAAATGGGGTTTTGACATTTACTGCACACATACGCGGTTTTTCTTTTCAATTTAGGGTCACAAGAGCGGCATGTCTTCCTCTCATTCCGTGGAACTCTTGACGGTTCTTCCGTATTTGAAGTTGCTGCAATCGGATTGTCGATGTTTTCATTGTTGGTAGTTTTCAATACATCTTCTATATCTTTCTTCAACTCTGTTGTCAAATGACCAATGGTAAGGCGGTTCTTTAGATGGGGTTTCGTAAGTTCTAATGCAAGTTGAAGAACATAGTTGTATCTCTTCAAAAGTGGGTTTTCTTTCTAGCTGAGAAACAGAACATGTGAGTTAGCAGAACATATGTCCACAATCCGTAGAAAAACAGCCATCGGCCATCTGCATGTTTTGCGCCCACTGCACAGTTTTGAACATTTAGCGTCCAAATTGTCGACCCCTGCTTTTGTCTTGTTGTAAAACAGAATTATCTCAGGTTTTCGAGATGTAGGGTCCACTTCAATTGTATTATGCATTGATGAAATCAGAACTACAGCATTGTTCTGCTTGGGTACATATGACACTAAAGTCATATTCTCATTGAATCCAAATAGAGAACTGTAGACACTCCTTGTTTTTTGTGTAAGAAATTCTGGGGGATCTCCTTCTTGTTTTTTCTCATTGTTCCCACTAACGTGAGCTTTCGTCGTGTAAGCTCTCGGCAGGCTTCAACTGAACAAAAATAATTGTCAGCAGTGATATTTTTGCCAGAATTCTTTATGCAGTTTGTTAGCTTTATCAAAGCTTGAGTTGGAACTTTTAGTTCCTTTTCTTCAGATGTCAGACCGAAGCCATCCGAACCCTTTCCGCTGTAAATGTAGGCATCATACATATACGAATTACGTGCATCTGTCAATACCATAAGTTTTATGCCATATTTGCCTGGTTTGCTGGGCATGTATACAGTGAAAGGAGTACCTCCACGAAATGGAATCAGCATTTCATCAATACACGTTAGTTCACTGATTGCAAACAATTTTTTACAGTTTTCTACGAACTTTTCAAAAACCCATAATATTGGTGCTGCTCTATTTACTTTTCTTCTTTCTGCTCGTGTATTTGGGTTATCAAAACGAAGACAGGCTATGAGTACCTCGAATCTTTTCTCTGACATCGCTGCACGAAAAATAGGTCGTCCTGTTATACCACTGCTGAAAAGACTGCCAACATCCTCCGTATTTCCTTTCATGATCGCCGATAGCAGGAAAACTGCTAGTAGTGCATCAATTTCAGCTTCATTTGTTGGTCGTAGTCTACGAAGTTTGTATTTGTCATGTGGGTCAATTTTAGCCCGTTCACATTCCAATTTGTTGTTGGTCCGCAAGAGAATCTCCTGCATGATTTGATCGTCCATATACAACTTCCAAACTTCTATGGGGGATGGTTTGACTCCAAGTGTTCGAGCCGGCCCCCGTAGTCCTGGTAAGCCTCTTATGGTATTTTCTGCTCGCGTTCGTATACAGCGACTTGGCTCTTCTGAATACCATTCCGTGTCGTCTTTTCCCAAATATGTAACAGGAATGTCGTCAGTAACGTCGAAGTTAATACGGGGGAAATCGAACATATGTAATGGAGTGTCTTCGTCGTCACTCCAGTCAGATACTGCTTGATTTAGTTCATCATCAGATATTATGTAATCCATATCATCATCAGATTCTCCAAGTTCCATTTGCAAGAATCCAGTGGAACTAGACAATTGCGGGTGGGTGTTTACAAATTCTGATTCTGCCACATAATGTTCCGGTATTTGGATGTGAGAAGGGGGACGACTGTTGGGAGGGCGCATATCATCATCGCTGGAGATATCACCTGCAGAAAGAGTGTCACTTTCACTGCTGAACTCATGAACAGGATCAACAGTAAAATCGGGATCATTGTCAGAGTCATGAAACTCTATGTCCGAGTTCCCTCCAGTTTTCTGATCACCAGAACCAGGAATTGATATCAAATTACTTGGCCCAGGCGTTAGGGTCTGAAGATCTTTCACTAGCTCTTCATCTTCCTCGTTCAAAATAATTGATCTTACGAAGTCCTCAAAGTTGGGATCAATAATTGAAATCTTATCATTGGACATTTTGATGTAACAATGTAGAAAACAATTGAACAAAATATCACATACGGACTGAACGGTCCAGGGGACACCAGCAAGTGCACGAACTGATCGGTCCGTCGGACACCTCCTTGCAGCAAAACAGACACTGGACGAAAGAAAAGCGCGGGAAAAGCAGAACGGCACTGTCACCACGTTGACGTCTCGAAACTAGGAGGGTACTGAGAAGGTGAACGACCTCACACTAAAGGGTGCCCCCTCTCCATGATACCAAAGTTGCGCTTGCGGTCCCAGGGACGTCGGTCCGGACTGAGTGTTAAACCAAACAGTCGTCAACCGTCACTCGTTGGTTTACATTAATAATTACGGAGCAAAAACACATAAGAAAAGGTAATTAATGAGAAGATGGAAAAATGAAAATTAGGGATGATAGAGAGAAGAAACACACAAGCAGGGGCGTAAAAGGAAGTAAAGGATGTCTGAAGAACGGCAAGAAGCTTGAAGAATGAGTGAGAGGGGAAGGGGAGGGAAAAAAGATGCCAGAAAAATGTCAACTAAGCAGTATAATGGTGAAGAAGTGGAAGGCGAGAGAATATATCAACTAAAGATGACAATTGCTCTAAAGTGAAGAATTAAAATTAGTGGAAGGGGAGGGACAAAAGATGTAAGAAGACACACAAAAATCGAAAAATTAATGAAATGAAGAAAGAAAATAGCTGGAAAGCGGGGAAGAGGAGGGACAAGAGATGCCAATAGAGAAGAACAAGAAAGTTGCCAAAAGAGGCCAGATTTGGCGGGAAGTGGCCGGAAGTGGACCGACACCGAAACGGCCACGTGGTCCGATTTCAACACGCGTTTTGATTAAATCGTTAATATTTTAAAAACTGGTCGATAGAATTCGTCCAAATTTTATACACGACTGTAAAACAAAGTCCCCAATATGATGACAAATTTTCACGTTCGCACGTGAAGGTGTTCACCGATCGATGGACTTTTATTAATACGCGCACTAATTCTGTAACAAATTTTGTGAAAACACCATAAAATGCTACAAAACACTTACCTGAGTATGTGTGCCAGTTTTGAAGAAGAAAAGCCTTCGTTAAACCACTCAAAAAAGGATTTTTCTGAGGAGCATCTGAGAAGCGATGTTCACACGACCGCAGCTCACGGAAGACAACAACCATCCCTAAACAGTCACAAAACATGATTGATATACCAATTCGGTGATTTCCTGGTCCATGATCATTTCCATTATTATCCTCCCTCTATCATCGGATTTCGAGTCACCCCACGGGGGTCATGCGCGTTGAAGTCACCTCCAACGATGACGTTGTGACCACGGTACTTATGTAATAGGCCGGTAAGCAGATCCACATCGTGTCTAATGTCCTGTCTTCTGTCGCAGTATATCGACACGACGATGAATTCTTCCCCTTTATTCTCAATGAGACACATGCCATATCTTGCGTAATGGCTTTGATTTGTTTATTCGAGATGTAAACAGGTGCTCGGGGTCGTCCCAGGGTTTGTTTGTAGACTGAACTCGTGGTTAGCCCCATTGCCCTGTTAATTCCCTAACCACGGCTCCTGCGCAAGTACGATATCAACTTCTTGTTGATCGCTAACTGCCCGTGAGCCGTGAAAGTTCAGCTGGGCAATTAAGTTAGCCTTCCTCATTTTTCTGGTGGGCGCATGAATTCTCTTCCTGGGTCATTTCCGCGTCTTCTCTGCCCATAACCGCGGGAAACTCACTAGGCACCAGCGGACTACAGTACTTAGGTAGTGTAGCTCTCCCGTAGTCTGTTATACTTCGCAGCTTAATTTTCACTCGCGTATTCATTTCACACTTCGGCGTTCGGATCTAAATCCAATTGAGCGGACGCTATTTCTTCTACCACATCATTGAAATTCGCAACTGTGGTTCCCAATGATCTAATCCGCATTTTAAAACTACCTTCTTGTTCTTTAATATTAATATTTTTAGCGACTTCATACATTACTTGAACCTTTTGAAAGAGACATTCTTTTTTCGCCTCTAAAAGACTCAATTTCTTTTGAGGTTTCATCGTGGCGGTTTTCGACATCTTGTATAAAGAAAAATTAACTTAAAATTTATAAATCAAGTTAGTGAGCGACCTTGAGCGGGCAGGTAGGCGCAAGTATGCACAGGTTCGAGTCAGCACGATGTGTACGCGACGTAATTACAATACAATTTAAAATAAATTCTATCCGTCCCAGGAGGACCGACCAAATGTACGGTTTTAACCGATGGAGGACCACCCGAACGTAATCGGGAGGCGTAGAAAAAAAATAAAAAAAATAAAACAGTTTTAAAATAAAAAAGTGATTGAAGTACAAAATAAAGAAATGAGATAATAAAGGACTCACCAAGCTGTTGTTGTGGCGAATGATAAAAGATAGGCAGGAAATAGAAGGATCCAGGAGCGATGAAAAATAGGGTATTTGGGTAGGACGGCCCACTTACAGGTACAAGCAACTCCGGCGTTTTGGCGAGGTGTAAAACCAATCCAAAAAATTCCGAGGGGTGCTAGAAGAGATATTACAGAAAGCGGTCTGTAGAAAAGCGTTTGCGGGTTCAACACCAAAAATAGAAAAATGGAAAGCGGTGCGTGCTGAGACGAACAAGGCTCGGTCATAAAAGCGACTGATGTGTGGTACCCGGAGTGGGGTGGCCAATCCTTTAGACCGGGCTTCCCGGTGTAGGATAATAAGTAAATGATAAACAAAATAGGCGGGCGGTTCTTTAAAATGAAAATGAAAATCCGAACAATATATATTACATTTATTTTTTACAATGTCTTCCATAGAAATTAAGTGTCAGTATTGTGACGTGACAGAGGGGCTCACAAAATTCTGCACGAAAAAATTTGTAGAGCTAATCGACAACGGCGTACATGTACTGTCTGCGGTGGGAATGTACGCCGTTGTCAGCGGGAAACACCGCTCTTCATGTCCAAGCGGAGGCGGTTGGAAGAGGCAATCCTTGCACGAGATCGAGACGTCGTTCGGAGACCTCAAGACTTTTTTCTAGCTCTGTACGGAACCTATCGATCCAGTGAATTTCTGTGCAATCAAACGGAGACCCTGAATCGATTGATTTCGGAATTTTTGGCGGAAACAGACGCTCCCCTTAAGTGGTGTTGGAATGTCAGAGGAGAGACGTGCGATCGAGCCCTCAAAACTAAAAATAAGGCCATCTTCGACATCTCCATCTTGAATAGCCTCAGGGGCGGATATGCCAAAGTGGCTACCGAGATGGAAGAGATGTCGATGAAGGGGAGCGGCTGGTTCTTAAAAAATATTGACGGTCTCTTCCTGCGCGTTAATCGATTCCGACCCTTAGGCGCTTCCAGCTTTATTCCGCTTCCGCTGAAAATAGCCGCTAGAAAAGCAGTTACAAATAATGTGCAAAACTATAACGAGCGGTGTTTCCAATATGTCATACTTTCCCATCTCGTGGAGGGCGCCACCCGGAACGTGTAAGTAAATACGCAAACTTGCAACATAGATATAATTTCGACTGCATGTCCTTCCCCACGCCTCTTCAACAGGTGAAAACGTTTGAACAACACAACAACATCAGTATAAACGTTTTCGCTGTTGGAGAGTCGGGCGACCTGTATTCGCTTAAAGTGGTCAAGCAGGAGAAGGCCGATCACCGCGATCTGCTTCTCCTCACATCGGATGATGGGCGAAGCCACTACACATACATAAATGATTTTAACGAATTAGTGGCTTCGCAAATTTCCGGTCACCACAGCGGAAGACACGTCTGCAAGCGCTGTCTCACCCATTTCAATATGGACGGGAGGGACATCGCTTGCAGGATGAGGGAGCACATGGAGTACGTGGAACAAACAAACCAACCCGAATCGTCGTCCCGGCTTGCGACGGCAAAGGGAATCTTCCGACAACGTCGTTTATCAACATCCAACGTCAGATGAGGATTACCTTTGTCGTCTTGGCCTTCTTTCTTTCTTCTGTTCCTGAAGCCGTTGCAGGCTCTTTACAGTATATTTGGCTTTCATGTTTGTGTTGCTTTTTTATTATAGACGGAAGCTAATAGAAACTTGGGGGTCAGAATGAAAGTGCACGTAGGAAAAAAAAACAAATAAATAATAAAAATAAATAATAAAATAAGTAATAAATAATAATTTTAAAATAAATAAATAAATGAAAATAAATTATTAAATAAAAGGTTATGCTCTCTCTTCTCCCCCTTTTGTTCTTTTAGATCTAGATATATTTTCCAGCTTTTGTTCTCAAGCGGTCGCATCTCAACCCCACCTGTCGAGCTCTTCGTCACAGTTGATCATAAATCAACTGCGTCCGGGATGGGCCTCGCGGAGGCGGCTCGTAGGGATATTACTATTCAGGTGGGGGAGGTATGGTCTTGTTTTCTCTCAATTTTCTTATTGTTGTTAATCCATGTCCATGTGGCTAGCTTTAAAAAAAATAAAATAAAATAAAAAAATAAATTTAAACGATGCTGCCTGTTTGGTACTGCTTCATTAGGCAGGCCAGACTTTTTGTCTCATTACAGCCTGCCAAAGCTTTTGCGTTGCCTTATATCCATCTGGGCTAGTTATGATAGCTTGCAGTGACCTTACTGTTACTACTTCTTTGTTTATTTCGAATAACCATCTCGTCCGATAGGTACAATATTTTTCGGACGCAAGTGCTACATGCTCCACTGTTTCTTGGTCCCCGCAGGGGCACAGTGGTGTAGAGCTCAGGCCAAATTTGTGCAGCTTGGCCAAGAAATCGCCGTGTCCCGTCAGGAGCTGGGCCATATAGTGGTCCACGCGTACATGTTTAGCTTCAATCCTGCTATCCACGCTGGGAAATATTTGGTGTGTGTGTCTGCCTTTGGTTGATCCATCCCACCGGCGCTGCCATTCTTCCCGCATCCATCTATCTGCGTAGCGAGAATTCGTTACGGGTATGCTGGGTTGTCGTCCATTTGCCAGCTCCCAGGCGGCTGCTATTGCTCTTGCCTTAAATCCAGGGGTGGTCTTCCTGCTATGACCTGTAGGGCATCAGTTGAGGTCGTACGGTATGCCTGCGTTATAGTCAGCAACGCTGTCCTTTGTGCGCTCAAAAGTGTTGCCCAGTCTGCTGCTCTCAGTCCTCTCATCCAAGCAGGGGCTGCATACAAGAGGACTGATTGGCATAACGCCGAATAATAGATCTGCCTACTTCGATAAGAAAGGCCCCACGTTGCTCCGCACATGGCCCTTATTGCTGCAACGCGGGCTGGTATTTTATCTCTGACATATCTCGCATTAGCGCCAAACCTTAGTCCGGTTGACATCCTGACGCCCAGGTATGTCACGACAGCTGGTGCCTTGATAGTTTTTCCCTCGATTCGTATGACGGGTGGCGACCGCATGTTGAGTGACCCCTTAAGTAGCATCATTTCCGTTTTTTCAGGTGCCAGGCTAAGCTTTACTCGTCTGCACCATGTTGTCAGGGCATTAACAGCTCTGCGGCCCTGTTCCTCAATTTCTGCCTTTGTATTTGCTCGCACTACCACAGCTAGGTCATCGACGTAGGCGACCGCCCTGAGGCCCACGTTCTCCAGCTCTCTGAGCGCCCCATTAAAAAGCAAGGGCCAGAGACACGGACCAAGCACCGATCCCTGCGGTATTCTCATCTCGAAGGTTCTCTCGCAGTCCTGTCCATATTCCGGTAATATCACATGTCGGTTGCTCAAATAGCTGCCTACTAGGGCACATATGTCGGTGTCAGCGCTACGGCTGCTGAGGCTATCCATAACTGCTGGCCACCACATCCTATCAAAGGCCTTCCTTATATCGAAAAATATTCCGACCACATACCGGGATGTTGAGTTCAGTGCCATGTCAGCTATCTCCCGTATAGCGTGGGTCATGCTCCTCCCTGGCATGCCACCAAATTGGCCCTGGTGTAGATCTGGACTAAGGGAGTTTCGGAGTCTTGCTAGCACGAGTTGCTCAAGAGTCGCCTCTCATTTGGATTTTGTCGTTAGAAAAGGAATGTACCCCTACGATTACATAGATTCGTTCGAGAGACTTCGGGAGACGGTTCTGCCCCCGAAGGAAGCTTTCTATAGCGAATTGAACGACGTTTCACAGTTTTCACAGAATTTCCGTACATATTTGGACATGCCCTTGAACCAGTACATCTCGTACAGTTTTTCCAGGGTCTTTTCCCAACCGATATAGAATACCCGACCTAATTTCATACGTTTGCCTGAAATTTTCGTTTGCCGAATTATTGGGAAATTGATTCAAAATCTCTTTTATCTCTTCATCTCGCTGTTTTTGTTCGTTCCGAAGCGCAATGTCGAAAACAGTCAACAAATTTTTTGACTCTTCGGATTGCGGTGATCTCCATTTTGATGAGTTCACACATTTTGATTTCGTCAGGTTACCATCAGCGATGAAGTTACATTTGCCTTTTACATGTAATAAATTCTGGGATGATTCAATGTTTGAGTTCCCTGCACGAGGTTGGTGCGAAAGGTAATCAACATGAGCCATACGTTTTGCCCCCCTATACTCGAATTTAAAGTTAAAAGCCTGCAAAAATGCCCACCATCGCTGAACTCTGGGGATCAAATCCTTTTTGTTTTCGGTCGCCTTTAATGATGAGCAATCAGTTACTACAGTGAAAGTATGGCTTTGCAAGAAGCAAATAAAATGCTTAATTACGTTCACAACTGCTAACGTTTCCAATTCGTATGAGTGGTATCGAGATTCTGTATCAGTAGTTCTTCTGCTATAGTAGGCAACAGCTCGGGGTTTCCCTTTGTGCAGTAATATAGCACCGTACCCTAAAGAACTAGCATCTGTGTGTACCTCGATAGGATATTTTGGGTTGAAAATCATTAATATAGGTTCACTCGTCAGCTTAGAGATGATTTCTTGTCTAATTTTTTCATAATCAGAGAACATTCTGCACCTGAATCAAACATAAATGAAAAAGACTTACCCTCATGTGTCAATCGCCCTGGAGATTCTACTTGGCATTTGCTGACGAACCTTAGCTTTGGAGATTCAGTAGTAGCTACAGGTTGCGAAGTTATTACCGGCGGTTTCATCTTCTTCAAGAATTTGGCAGCTATGTGTCCAGGTGTGAGCCCTCCGCTTAACTTTCGGAGAGACCCCGACTAATTAGAGTGAGCTCTCCCGATTAACCTTGCGAAAGAGTCCCACTATTATGGATAAATATAATTGAAAATTAGAATCACAGGGTTAATAAAAATAATGAAATAATAAAATGATAAAAAAACTAAAACGATTTACTTTCAAAATTACCAACACCAAAATAATAATGAAAAAGAATATATCCCCACAAAATTTAATTAAGTTAACCAGTGATTACTCATGGAAGATTGTACAATTTGTAATGAATTTAATAGTTACGAATGACAGTGCCGTCTTCTTCCGCTCGGAGTCCCCCGATACACCTGAAGGGCATTCGTTGGGCGCACATTCATGTTGTTTTCCCCTACTCCCCCCGGCTTTGTTGGGAACCTTATGCTTTCGGCAACCGGGCCGTGACACCGGAGTCCCGCATCGATGGCAAGTGATACTCTTTGTTGGTTCCATTGTCCATCTCGTCGTCGAAGTCGAAGGTTTCGATCGAGGTTGGCCCTGGTCCGTTCTTCCGTGATGCTGTCGTCTACATTCCGATGACTGGTGATTCGTCAATCCGCAATGCACACATTTCGGGAACATTCGTCTTGCAATCTTCGTTCCTTCATGTGCGCTTGTGCTCGGTGTTGAGAAAGGATAAAGTCTCTTATTGGTTGGTGTCGCTGCCTTTATTTCTTTTAAGAAACTTTCTTTGCTTTTCAATTCAAGCGTGTAAGCTAATCTGCGAAACCGTTCGTTGTTTCGAGCCATTTGCGCGAAAATTAAACTCATGGCGATCTGATCCTTTGTCATATCTTGCCACTTCGTAGAAAGTGACGTCAAGCATTTTGGTGGCGTATGCAACGAAATCTCCATTTGAGGGTTGCGTTTCCAACAAATTCATTCGTCGGAGTTTCTGCTACGTCGTATTGGATTAAGAACAATTCCTTAAATTTTTGCCACGTCATTTTTTTTGTCATATGAAATTGATAAGCGCAATATATTGCCAAAATAACGTTTGCTACGCTCAGTCTCATCCATTAATATTAAATTAATCTTCTTATCATCTAAAGTCTCATTTATGAAAATACATGACACTTGGTTGCTATACAGTCTTACAATATTATCAGTAATTTGCAATGGCACATTAAAATCACGTATCAAACATTTACATATTTTTGGTATCAATATTATAGCATGATATAATAGTATATCATCCTGAGATAAAATAATACTCGTAGGTAACATGGTAATAGTAGTTTCTAATTGACAATATGAATCTCTCTACCTATCTTGTTGATCATTACTCCATTCATAAACAGAAAATAAACTACGAAGAGACGTATACAATGAATCATGTATCTCCGAATTGTTACAACCACAAATTGTATTATTAAGTATAATGTACGCAACCATTACAATCGATCGCATCATAATTTCCAGTCTAATATAGCAGCTGAAGTCTGAGACGTAGTTTTTTCACGAATAAAGAGAAGAAAACAAATAAACATAGTCAACATAGATATATTCTTCAAAGCAGTAGCATGTACATTAAAATATAAAACAAAAATATGATAGGTTTTAAAAGCGTAAGAGATCAAAAACCAAACAAAATAACACAATGTTAAACATAATCTCAAGAAGAAGCTAGACACTATGGAGGTAGACATCTTTTCAACTGCACTAGTCTTAGCCACGGCTATAACCTGATAGAAATAAGTACAAACTAACACGATTCGATAATACAAAATTTCAAGCCATAAACCAAACATTAACAAAATACAACCACGCATTTCTCACTATGGAACGCCACAACAGCTCCCTCGTCGCCTTTCCAGATCCTCATGGAAGGCTTTCTACCCGGGCTAAGATTTTTCTTTTTTTCTTTTTTTTTCTTTTTGGAATCTTAGGAGTATTTATGCCAGTGCAATTCATAAGGGCCGCCCAAAGCCCTTCCACAAGCGACTAGAAGGAGGAGGAAGGGGTCTTCAATGGGAAGAGGCCTGTTGGTTTTGAGCTGAACGAGAGACGAGACGTGGCAATTCGTTCTTTTTGGGTATAAAAGCAGCAAGGATCAACCATCTTCACACAAGCGAGAATCGGGACTGCAATTATTAAGGCCGCCTTAAGTCCTTACACAAGCGAGAATCGTGACGCAAGTTTTTTTTTTTAATTTTAATTTGTTTTTCGTAAAAAAAAAATATATTTTTTTAATCATTTAGTTTACAACGAAGAGTAATTTTTGTTTGTTTGTTTAAACTTCACAAAGTCGGTATTGCAACTTGTTTATTTCATTTTATTGATAATCATAATAATAATTAGTCTCGTAAGAATTGCTTCTGTTTTTTTAATTTAAAATAAGATTATAATAATCAGTCAGTTTCCTTTAATAAAAAATAAAAAAAAAATTGTTAATTCCAACTTAGACCTTAATTTCAAATTTTTGTAAATTGCTCAATATAAGAATTGTTTCCCTTTTAATATTCTTTTGTTTATTATTCATTCATTTGTCTAAACTAGGAAAGATCCACTCCCTCGGGGAAGGTCCAAATAGTAACGCTATAGTCAGTAACTTGATTCAGCCATTGCGCAGCGATCCCTTTTAAAGCTTTTGTATAGGGCTACCACAGAGGCCTACCTGACAACGGATTTTCGTCCATTAGCATGTTCACTGCCGAGCACCACACCTTAGGGTCGGAGTCCGCTAACTCCGGATTGAATTCAGGCAGGTCAAAATGGTGTCTCTCCTTTTGTAAATGTTGGAGGAAAAGAGAAACCATTCTGTTCTGCTCCTCGAGTATCTACTTCCAAGGTAATTGAGATGATGTCGAAACTGCCACTGGCCGTTGATCCCGATCAGATCCAGATCCCACTTCTAATGGTGGAGAAATCTCTCCCTTCACAGGGAAAGAAATGATCCATTTCGGTTATTTGTTTCACTGTTTATTTATTTCACTACAAATGTGACGATGCTTTCGCTGTGAGGACAAAGGCACGACTGACTGACTGACTCGCTTTGTCTTTTGTTCTTCGTCTTTCTAATCCACTATGTCACAACGTCACAGTTAGTCAGAGTACGTCTCTGCATTCCTTTTGATCTCCGACACATATTTCAATAAGTAATGAAACTGAAATGAAGATGTCAATGAAGAAGTGATGAATGAGGTCAATACGAAGGGGAGGGAATGAAGATGATAAATGAAACATGATGGGACGGGGAGAGAATGAAGATGTCAATAAGTAATGAAACCAGACTGAAGCTGACAATGAAGGAAGTAATAACTGTTACAGAGGGGAAGGGGGGGGGCAAAAGATGTCACAAATGATGGAAGGCGGCTTATACACTCAGGGGTGGGGCCAGGGCCCCTGAGAGGCTCCGGTCAAGACTCGACTTCCCTCGAGACACGCTTCTATCAGCACGGGTCGCATGACAGTTTGGATTGGGGTTTTCAGTCAGGGTTGTCTCCCTAAGTCTGGTGTCTCGGATTATTCGCCGAGTACACATTTTGCTCTGCAACGTTAGCCCCCACCACCGTCTTGGCCTTCTTTCTTTGTACTGTACCTAAAGCCGTTTCCGGCTCTTTACAGTTTATTGGCTTTCAGCTTTGTGTTGCTTTTTTATTATAGACGGAAGCTGATAGAACTTTGGAGTCAGAATGAGCGCATGAGAAAAAAACAACTAATAATAAGTAATAAAATAGTATTAATAATAATAATAATACGTGCTTCTCACTCTCCCCAATCTTGTTCTTGTTTGTTCTCTTTATTGATTTTTCTTCGTTTTTTTTATATTTTTCTCTGTTTGTCTGACGGTCGCATCTCAACCTCACCTGTCGAGCTCTTCGTCACCGTCGAAAATCGACTGTGTCCAGGATGGGCCTTGCGGTGGCGGCTCGAAGGGATGTTAACATTCAGGTGGGGGAGGTATGACCATTCCCTTGACTTTCTCGAATCTTGTTATTACCACTGTGGTCCAATCCATATGGCCAGGCCAAAAAAAAAAGCAAAGTATATATATATATATATNTATATACGAACATAACAACATATATATAATATAATAATATACAATGATATAGATACAAGTAACAATATACAATGATATATACAATAATATACAATGGGGGGGAAAAAAATTAAGCTGGCCAGCATTTTAATGTCAAGACTTTCTTCCACATTTCTTGAGTAGCTTTGTAGCCGCTTTTTGTGGTGATTGCTGCCTTTAGGATTTCTATGGTTGCATGCCTTTCGTTAAGGTCATTTAACCATTGCATACGAGCTTCTGTGTAGTTGTTGCAGGATGTTAGTACGTGTTCAACTGTTTCCTGGTGGCCACACTCACAGAAGGAGTGTGGTGTTAGGTTGAAAGAGTGAAGCTTTGCAGCAAAGTCTCCGTGTCCCGTGAGAAGTTGGGACATGAAGTGATCTATTTGTAGATGATCTAATTGCATACGCTGCCTGATTGATGGAAGAATGTTAAACGTGTGCCTACCTTTTGTGGATAGATTCCACCGCGTTTGCCACTCTTCAATTGCCCATTCTTCAGCTTCACTCTCATTCCTTGCCATTATGGTTGGCTCTCTTCCATTTTTTAGATCCCACATTGCACACCTTTTCTTTATTAGGATGTCAATCGATGGTTCACCTGCTATAACCTGCAATGCGTCATTTGAGACCGTGTTATATGCCTTTGTTATTATCAAGGCTACTATTACTATCAGGCTTTTCTTTGAGCAGTAATCAAGTGCTGCAAGGTGCTCGTGTTCAATTTTCTACCCCATGCAGGGCAGGCATAGGTCAGTATAGAGACACTTATTGCCTTATACATAACCAGCCTATGTCTGTAGCTTATGCCCCATGTTGCTCCGCACAGAGATTTAGCCGCAGCGAACCTGGAACACGCTTTACTCTTGGTCAGCTTAACATGCTCCTGAAAGGTCAGGTAACTGCCTATAGTAACGCCAAGGTATTTAACTTGGTTCATACACTTTATTGTTTTCCCTTCCATTCTAACCACTGGAGGACTTAGAGGGTTTAATTTCCCAGCAGGTATTCTGATGTGACAGGGAAGGTGTCTTTAATAACTTTAGCTTCGACCCCATCCCATCCTGGGGCTCCAACACCTCGCAACCTT